AAACTTGCTTAGAAAAGGTTTTCATCTGGAAAATTGTTCGAACTGAACTAAAAACTCACTTTGTATACTTAGGTTCATAGAGCGCCCAATCGAGAGAGAAGTCATACGGAAGTTCGTAATGAAGTGGGATACCAGCGATTAGCTCATTGTATCTAGTCAAAATTGTGTTTTGTGTGATTTTGCAGGCCTTAAATATCAATTTAGACACAATCCGCTACTGCGTTATCTCTCTTACTAGGTCTTTGATAATGTTTTTGACTAAAATCCCAGTAACGTCATTGAACATGTTCGGCAGATCCGAATATTCGCCGTTGAACCTGTATGTGAGGCTAGCGTGCGACCAATTGTTTTTTTTTTCACATAATCGTACTTGTAATCAAAAACGCCCAGGTTCGCTTTGCATTCACCCATCTGCAGTTGCGGATGTTTATCGGCTGTCATCACGATTTTCGCAGCTAAATCGATGTCCAAGTTCGTGGCTGATAGTACTGCGTCGCCACTTGCGGTTGTCTAGAAAATAATGCACAACATTATAGATTTCGAGCCTAAGAAGAGGTATTGCAATGCCGACAACACCTGCGCGTAAGTATTTGCTGTCGCAAGTTGCCGACATTTGAAATTACGGCATTGTTTCGCGCAGATGTTGTCGCCAGTGCAGGGGCTGCATCAACCGTCAAATCTATGAAGCTTTGTACGTTGGAAAAATCATACTAACATCAATAGGAAGCTCGAAGGGATAGTGGTAAACTGCATTCCAAACGCCTTTCATATCCCAAACGCCTTGACGTGATGTGAAATGTATGCCATCCTTGTCCGATATATAAGCGTCGAGGCTAAAAGATGTAGCATATGGTGCAAATTATTTCCTCACTTTAAACTTTCAACTTCATCAACTTACACCGGACATACAAATTTGTTAACGCTGAGGGCCGTCTTCAATATGAGTTCGCCGGATCCCATTGTAGTATTGAGGGTAATGAAGTTTGCCCCGAGTTTGTCAACTTCGGCATTTAACTTCAACATTCTCATTTATCCCAAAGCCGTTAAATTAGCTATCGGGAAAGACTTACTATTTGACATGTGGCCTTCGTCAAGAACTTGAATGCTGAATCGTATATCCGAATTTGGGAATTCGGTCTTTGGGCAAACACGCAGACGCCCAGCGCAAGCAGGAGTAGCTGTAGACGCATGATCACCGCTACTGGGTATTGCAACAATGTGCTCTGGCTTCGATAAGGCTTCGTCTTGTACTGTCATTTTAAGCTTCTTATGGAGGCGGAACTAAAGCAACTCATGCAGTGCTTTCCCTGAGAGAAATACTATCACAATGATACTGTCGTTTACAATTGAGGGATTGATACGCGCACAGATATCTCAAGTCA